TAAATAATGATCTTACCAGCTAAAGCATAACATTTTGCTAAACTATCTTCACATTTAGTAATATTAGAATTCTTTTGGTTTAAAACAAGAGTATAAAGTCTTAAGCTCTCAGCAAGAACATATTTTGCATTTACAAAATTACGTGCCTCGAGTTGTTTCATTCCTAATTTCAAAAAATAAAAACTATTTAAAATTAATAAATATATATATTTATTCAGGACATTCAGTCAATTTTTTAACTATCAGCCCAACACACCCATTTTATGAATAATAAAACACATTCAGATTCTATAATTACTGAACGATCAACTTTCAGCTTCAATGTTTCAATTGTAGACTTTTCACGGTTATTATTGTAAATTACTGTGATGGGGCAATTTTAGTATCTTTAATAATATACTAAATAGTAAATACTATTAGTTACTATATTATTATTATACTAATTTTACAACCTTAAATAACTATAAGTACTAGTTCTAAGGTGATCAATTTCTACATCAAAGTTAATTATAATTATTTTCACTGTTACAAGTGACTAATAGTAATATTTTTAAGYAGTTACACAAGTATGAATCAAAAAGAATACTTCATATTYGTGTTTCTTAAAAATTTAAAAATTGTATCTTGAAAATGTTGAGGTAAATTTAATTTTAATGTACTAATTTTAATATATTAGAAAATGGCCTTTATGTAATAATAACTAATTTTTGTCCTTTATAAGAAACAGTATATGACTGATTAAAAATAAATATCTAAAATATTTTATATTTTTCTTATTTGTTATTGAGGTAACTATACAATATTGTTCATAAGTAATTTTTTTTTTAAATTTTTTTTTTTTATTTGAGTTAAACAATCTATACAAGTTATGTATAATAAGCTTAAGTGTTAACAAATTAAGATTACAGCCAGAAAAATATGAAGGAGAAGCCACCCACTGGTGACACTCCAGGTCAGAGTCGTAAGGTTAAATTATAAAAKTAGGTCSCGGCRCCACTTTCTTTTCAATCTTTTGGGAGGGTTGCCAGGCATTGGATTGGTTAAATTTTTAGCTAGGATGTTTGGAAGTAAGTAATTAATACAGAGAAACATKTCTATAAGGGACAATTGTCTTTTCACTGTAACTATAATATATTCTTGTTATTAGAACAGGCTAAATGGGTTGGTCTTATTGGCATGTCATCAATTACATCTTATAATAATACCAGACAAAGTCATTTATTAGCAGAACTCATGAGTTCATGCCCTAAAAAATTCTAAAATAAGTATGCACTTATACACTAAAAACTGGCAAAATATACATTAAAATATGCCTTTAAAAGTGCAAAAATATGCATTTATATGTACTAAAAATCTACAAATATGACGATTAAAAAAATATAGAAATTTCCATTCATATTTGTAAAAGTTATATTTTATTTGTTTAGTTTTAAATTTAATTTAAAATACTTMTTTAAAAAAAACCTATTAATAAGTATATATATTTCATATATCATGTTTCCTACTAATTGCTTAATACGGACTATGTATACATTTGTTTATGTATATACGTACTTACTTTATGCATTAAATACGTTTTATTTTTAATAATTTTACGTTGCAAAAATTCCCATATATTTTAAACAGTGTAGAAATATAAATTATTGCATTTTCATCAAATGTTAGAAAAAATATACTAAATATGCAAAAAAAAACTTCACATATTTAACCACGGTACCTTGAAAAGTATTTCAATGTCACATTGTCACCTAGCATTATATACGACTTAGCAAGATTGATATGCAAATGCATGAACTCACGAGCCCTGTTTATGAGTTATGTTTGAGATGTCTCTAAAAGGGAAGGTTTGATTTTGTGTTATACCTAGATAATAATAAATGTAAAATTGTAAATATTTTTTTGCTGTAATCCTGTATATTGTGAGTAAAAAAAAAATGTTTAAATATTATATATATTTTAAATTAGAATTTTGGTAACATACTAACATGTATGTAAATAWTAATGTATAATAGAACTATTTTGTTAAAGTATTTTGTATTAATAATATTTAAAAATTATTATACTTCAAGGTATCATAAGGCGCAAGAGAGGCGAAGCCTGATCACTTGATAAATTTATACACCCTCCCTAAAAAAAAATTATAATAATCTAAATACTCTACTACTCAGCAAATTATAGTAGTTCAGTAGTTGTACCATAATTCATATATTATTTATATACAGAATGGTATATTTATGAATCCTGTACATTAAAGTGCTACTACATATAGTTGATATTTTTAGAACACTGATTTTCTGTTCCTATGGCCACTGCCCACTGACATTCCAACTAGTATAAGATTTATAAAATTCCAGTTTTGATAAAAAACAATAAATCAAGTATTCCAATRAAAAGAGTGAAAGTACAAACAATAAATTTAAGTTGTAATTCATTTGCACTAAATAAATTATTGACTAAACTCAAATTGGAACTGATTATAAAGATTGATTTTATATTAATTCAAAAT